TGCGTTTCTGTTTCTTCCTCTCCCTCTTCATGTGAATGATCACTGCATCTGCATGTATGTGTGAAGGGAGAGAGGATATATAAAAGGAAGGATCAGAAGAGGAAAATGGGTTTTGAAGAGAATGTGTACTGAGACATGTGTTTGGGACATGGAAGAGAGAGAGACTTCTGTTGCTTTACCACACACCATCTGTCTGTTCCTTTGGCCCTACGTGTCTTCCATTACTTTTTTCCCACAAATATCTTTGATAGTGGTTCACAAGAATAACTCGAATGATTTTCTTTTTCTTGTGTTTTTTTTCATGTGTTGAAAAAATCAAAACGCCTGTAGAGGAAATTGAAATCCCCGCACGTACCAATTATAATATTTGTTTCTTATGATTTAAAACAAAAGGAATAAGGAAAGAAATTCGTTTGATAATACTTTAAAATGTGGTAAATGATATAATAGTTAGTGGAAATCTCACCTGGACCGGAAATAGACAAAACGTTCATGAGAAAGAGACAAAAGTGTAATTTGGAAAGGCCGAGTTGGGATTGTGCGTCTTCGAAGGGGCAAGTCGTAAGTGGACCTTTCCTTCTCACACGGACACGACCATGACGATGTAAAATCACTTTATTTTCTTCGTTTTGATTTAGTCCGAATACATAAATGTTTCCACATTAGCACATTTATCATAATGGCCGGTGACGAAATAAAATAACAGGGCTTTCGCGATGCAAGTCTAAACTGGGCCACTAGTATTATGAAACTATAAAAAAATGAGTACACTTGTTGCCTCCATGACAATACCTTTTTTCTTTTTTTATTTCTTCTGAAAACACAATGTCATTTTTGGACAACGACACTACGTCTCAGTTGAGCAGTAAGAATTTTTCTATAAGTAAATTTGTGATAGTTATGCAACAAATCATATGTATGACAAACTTGAGCTGTTTGATAATTTGTGAGATGTCACTCCATGTTAGGTTGGTTTTCCTGATAGAAAATCTATGATTTCATCTTAGGAAGAAAATGATTTTGATACCTAGCATTTGAGATAGTTCAGCTTTTGTATGTACGAGTCTATGAGAATTGGAATGAAGTTTGATATTTGTATTTCAGTTAGTTCATGATCTGCATTGTAGTACTAGTTTTGTTTGACCCAAATAATTGCGTCGGATATGACCGCATTTCGAAAACAGTGATTGGAAACGAATGAAATGTATTAGGGTTGTACTTGTTTCAAGATGCACAACGTGTGTTTTGAAGACAATACAAGAAGTGGAGTTATATGGCATCGAAGGACTCTGAAAATATATGAAGATAATAAGCAGTGTTAAATTGTCATTAGAGCTTTTGAATGATTTTTTTCCAAGTTCAATTAGAAGTGCTAATATTTTTTAGATAGTATTTGTTTATATGATATATGTGCTAAACAATGCAGAAAGGAGTTTATATATGTGGTGGATTCACATGAGTAACCATTTCTTGGAAGAATATTTAATCACCAATTTTGATTAGAAACCTGTTAACGTTTGGACTTCACAAGTCACAACTCAAAGCATAATCTACCGTTACTCTTTAGCATATTCATTTCCAAACCTATGCTCACATTGATGACGTGTCGACTACATCAAATTCAAGGACTTCCCTTCTGCTGCTGCTACTGTGGGCACAACAGCCCCATAAGAGACATTCACTAGTTGGGCTGCAGCACGAGCAGCTGCTGTTGCACGATCGGCGCTAGCTAGAGCAGCCCGAGCTCTCTCCATTACGTCAGTCTGATCTCTTCTAGTATCAGGAGGCGTTTGAGAAGGTGAAGTCAGCTTAGATGATGGAATGCTTTTGCTCACTGGGTTTTGAGCTTGAAGCTTCTGGAGTCTCTGTGTGGCCTCTGCAGGCAGAACTTCAGTTTCCCTAGTAACCRAAGACTGAGTGTAGCCTTGTTGGGATGGTCGAGATTCAGAGAGACCATCTTGAAGACGTATTTGCTTAGCTCCACTCTACAGATCCCATTCGAAACCAAACTATCAACTTTATAAAGGGTATATATTTGATATAAAACGTTCGAAAAATCATTGAAGCCCATAAAATAGAAGAGAAGAAGCTACAAACTGTACCCAACTCATTCAGTTACCATTAGGAGTGGAAAGATTATCAATTACTGCTATGCAGACATATACTTATTGTTCTTTTTACCCTATTCAAAAAACTACAAGACCAAGCAATGACTAATGGACACATACAGAAACCGTTGGACAATAAATTTCGTCATGAAGTTCTTAAAAATGATAAGTTTTAGTTTCCAACTCAATGTCATGCTAATTCCATTTTGGGCACCGTTTTTTCCTTATGACCTAGCTAAGTTGTATCAAAGTTCACATCCGGTTTAGGAGACAGAAAAATGTGCATGTTACCAACTAGCTTTCCCTTAAGCTGAAAAATCTAGGTTCAGAAAATGGTACCAGGAGGTCTTCATGGCTCTTCATGAACTCTGCTTCGGTGGCAGAAGAATCCCAATTTACATTGTACTCCTTTGCAATTTCCTTCAAAATCTTAAGCCTTGCCTCTCCCGATGGACTGGCAGGTGAAAGTTTTTCAATGATCTGCCCAAAAAGCAAAACAATCCAACAACTAGTTAAGCACTTGATTCAGAATCCATCTCTCTCGATGAATGAATATATAAAACAGTTAAATAAGAAGAAGCTACTAACGGTACGATTGACACCAGAATCCGGACGGAGCTCAGAAGAAACCATGATAAATTCTTTTCCATATTTTGTACCAAACAGATTCTTAATCTGAATAAGATCAGGCAGTTCAGAGCACCTTGGAGCAGCAAAGATGATGCTAGCAATAGCCTCTCTCAACTCTCTAGGGCATTCCCTATTACAATTGAAATCCAAAGAATCACATTCTAATCCTTCTTGTTGCGAAAGAAAGAAATCCGAAAACTCACTTTTGACTTTCAAGAATTGGGACACGGGCAAGTACAAACTCGCAGAATAGCTCTAATATCTCATAAGCTGCCCATAAATTCATTTCTCTGATCACATGCTCCACCTAAAACGACAAGAAGAAGATATGATTTGTTCGATTGTTGGTAAGACTGACATAACACACATAGAAAGGACGAACATACCCTGATTCGAGCGATTGGTTCCTGTCCAGCTTGTAAGAAGTGAGCTATCTCTTTCTTCATATGTTTGAGCTGCATATCTCTCTTGTTTTGCAGCAATTTCATCCGAGCAATCGCCAAGTTCAAGCATGTTTTGCTGCCAAAAACTAAATCTGTTACTCAACTTTTTCAACAATCAAGAACATAATAAACTCTAATTCATTTTTCTGAAGAACCCTAGCTTCGAAACCCAGATCCTAAACGAGACAAAGTATAAGGAAACAGAGAAAGAGCAGAGTTTGGAGAGGAAAAGGGAACGAAGAAGAAGGAGAAACCATCTGGCGCCAAAGACCCCGCGGTTGAAGAGTTGGTTTAGCAGCGACATCGAAACGGAGATTGGTGAAGGTTTTCATTGGCGATCGATCGGCGACTGAGGAAAAGGAAAACGAAGATAGTGGAATAATTGGCTGCTCCGCGGAACACAGTTATCAGGTAGCTACCCAGTAATAAGCGTACGTGCTTCTCACTTTTGAAAAGCGAGACTGGGATTCCTTTAATTATTACTTACTTGAACTTCACGTTAAAATTTGACGAAAACATTTACTATCACAATTAAAAAGGGAAAGGCAATTCTTAAAAATTCCATAAAATTTTAGTTTTCAAAGTTTTTTTTTTTTAACCCTTTATTTTATTAAAACTGATTTAAAATAGATTACGTCACTGAAAAAATTCAACAAATGAATTACAAAAAGAAATTAATGATTTTTTTCGCACCGAAAAATAAGTTAGGATAATAATCGTTGACGACACATTATCGATACCAAGTTGATCTTTCTTATTCTAATTGTCTACCTTCGATTCGAAACATGATATCTTAGTTTTATCTTTCTGGTATTTTTGTAAACTAAATGTCTTCCGTTTAGTGGTATTTAAAATATATTTTTTAAAACAATAAACTAGTAGTGATATATTTTAAACCAAAAAAATATTTTTTTGATATTTTAGA